CCACGTGACCAAGCGCTTGCACGAGTCGGGGCCTCGGAGGATGCCAGCGAGGAGATCCGAGGACTTTTCGGGGGGATGTTGACGTAAAGGAAGCGCCTTACAACCCTGTATAGCTCCACTTTAAAGAGCCGCCACCCTCCCAACCCTGATCCCCCGAAGAAATGCACTGTTTGTCACGTCTGAGGCGCGTGCTCACGGCCCTGGACGACGTCTTGGGCTCCCAGGAGTCTCCCCTGGATGTGAAGGAGCCAATGGCCTTGGATTTCCTGCCCAGCACCNNGACGACGCTGGGTCTGCACACTCTGAAGCATCTTGCCCCCTGTTCCATGAGCTGCCGTGAGCTGCCTTTTGCCGAGGATCGCGTCGACTTCGGAGGCAGGTTGGCAGCGGCTTTTCGTCAGAAGGCCCTCTCATCCTGCGCTCCAAGAGTCTGCAGTGTGGGACAGCAGTCTGAGACAGGTTGCAGTGCAGGGCGAGCAAATCTTCGTGTGCAGTCGCCGGGCGGAAGGCGCAGAGGGCAGACTCCTCACCGACGGCTGATGTAGCACATTATGTGTATGTATACATTTGTAACTAACTAACTAAGTTTAACTAACTAACTAACTAACTAACNNTAAATATATATATATATATTTATTTGTATATATGTATGTAGACATGTAGATATTTACATATATATATATGTACACACATACACACACACACACATTGTTGTCTACAACTATCAATATTGATTACGTGTGTGTGTGTATGTATGTATGTATGTATGTATGTATGTAGGTATGTAGGTATGTGTGTATGTGTGTATGTGAGTATGTATGTATATATGTATGTATGTATGTACGTACGTATGTATGTATGTGCATATGTCATTGTTTATCTCTCTCTCTCTATCTCTATTTATATATGTACACACATACATGCATGATACATTATCTTTTTGTTCCCGAGTAGATATTGCACACCTTGACGGGTCACCTTGCATCACCGGTGGAAGTCACGGGAATGCTGAGTCCCACCACTTCCGAACCAAGGGTTCTTGCTTTCCCCTAGTCCCCTGATGAAGACGTCCCAATAAAGTACCGAAAGGAATCTACATCAGCATCCACGGCAGCTTTATCTTGCGGCCTTTCAAGGCCCGGCCCGCAGGGGCCCCTGCCTTTCAAGGATGAACTGCGAACGCCTCTGTCCCGAGGAGCTGGAAAGTAGCAACAGCATGTCCCGGATCCGGACGACTCGCACCACAGTTTCCAACAGCGTGAAGTTGCAGTCGGACATTTGGTACGCGGACGCTTGGCAAAATCTTGTTGCTGGTGGGTTCGATTTACATGGCAGTTTCAGAACAGAGCCCTTCGAGAGGGAACCACAAAAAGCTCGCAAGGCTATGAGGAATCTATGAGGGACCCACCACGTCACTTAAGAAGGTCCCCACACGAGCACCCCAGCAAGTCAGCTCTCTGAGGAGCTTGCTTTGTACACCAGCAGGACGGCCTTCAAAGAGCAAGGGTTAGGGACGGTTAGGGTTTGGGTTTCATTGATTCCGTGCGAGAGGAACCATGCATCCACCTTGGCCGCGGCAACTTATGCCAAGCTGCTCACACTGTCGGCCACGGACTTCTTGCAGGCCTGGGGACGGGGCCCTTCTTAGGCCCGGGCCGGCCCTACTCCTAGGAGCTTCTTGGACGCCAGGCCGTGAAGAACTCGCCCTCGATTGTGGTAGCCTGTCATGAGCACCTGGGGCTTGCACAGCTGAGATGGCATCCTGCAAGCCTCAGAGCTGTTTTTTTCTGAGGTACGCGCTCGGGCTGATCAAGATGCATCAGTGCCTTGGACTCCGAAGATCGGGCTGCGAGCGGGGGGGCCCCGGCTTTGAAAGAGCTCAGGAAAAGGGCCCTCTTCACCGAGGAGACTTGGGAGGTTCCACCAGATTCCTGGTCTGTAGAGGCGCATCAAGATGTGCTCGGGTGCTCGAACTCTTCGAACTTCGAACTTTGCCTCTCTTTAGCTAGGCCGTGGCGGCGACCCAGCTGGCGGCAGCTTGAAGCAAAAGAGCCGGAAAGAGCGGAAGAGAGAGAGGAAGGCCGCCGCCTCTGGGCCTTCCAAGGAGCTCTTGATCCCGGGCACGAGCCCGATCCATGCCTTCAAGCTCACGGGCGCCTCTCGGATTCGGAGAGATCTCCGTCGTGTCTCGAAGTGGCCCGGGGGTTCCATCCGAATTGAGCCGGTCAAGGCTTGCGAGCGGAAGATTTCCCTGGACCGGCTCCTCAACGAAGATCAGACCCTGCTCGCGCCTTGCATGGCATAGAGTCTGCAACAGAGTATGGTGGCAGAATTTCTTTTTTTCCGTCGCGGGCACAGCCGGCTAAGCCAAGGACCAAATCGATTGTGTCAAAGACCAGCTCGACGAACTGGACGGCGAGAGGGGCATGTACGAGCTTCTTCGGATCAAGGACCCTCTACTTTCCCTGTTTTGCTGGTCCTCTGTGACTGACTCGACGGAAGCCCGCTCACGCAGGACGAAGCAAAGCGAGCTCTGCTTTCGGTACTCTTCATGGGCTGGCTTGTGAGGGAGACTCGGCTGTGTGTAATGATGCGTCCTGTTCTGACTCTGCATGTCTGCACGACCCTGTGTTCAGGACAACTACGAGCAGGTGGTGGCATGTCAGGACAGGGACGAGAAACGCTGCAACTAGGCCGTGAGCTGGGCGCGTGGAACTGCAAAAGGACGGGCCCAACAAGCTCACGAGGACGACCTGGTCCGCCCTGAGGGACTTTGGGCGGCAGAAGTTACTGAATTTGTTGTGGTCCAGCCGCGTCCACCGGTGCTTCCACGTGCATCTGCGACCCACCAAGGAGCTGACGCATTGTCAGGAGATGTCTTTCGAAGAGCTGAATGCAGCCATGGTCTTGCTGGGCGTGCGTCGCTGGGCTTCACTTGCGGCCTCCGAAGACTTCTCGGCTTGTGGCTAAACAAAGCTGGTTCGTCCCTCCTTCTGGGCCTTTTGAATGCCATACCAGGTGGCCTCTGCAAAAGCAAGGAGTTTTCGAGGCTGGTGCCTCCCAGCGAGCGACGGCATACGGAACAGGTGCGCGAAAGCTCTGAGCAAATTTGTGTGCGCAGACTTGTCGCCCCCGCATTTAAAGCGCTTGCTTCCATGGAGAGGTGTTGCTGCACACGGTGGACCACCTTTCCGCCTACGTTCCCTCGCTACAAGCGCTGAGTACGGAGTGCTACACCCACCTCGGAAATGCTGTGGCTTTGATGAAGCAATGCGCTTGCATATTCAGGAGTGGCTCAAGCCGGCCCCGCTATGTGCTTCTTGTGGGTACCTGTCCCCATGCAAGGTTCGAGTCATGATGGACTTCAACTTTGCCGCGCCTTCAGAACGTGCAGGGGAGCAGAGACCCTTGAACCAGTCCCCCTTGCACCTAAACAGGCCTCACGAATAGAGGAGATCCTCCCCCCCTTGCTTTCAGAGGGAGAGGCTGTTTTGTTGTGGTATATTCGGGGAAGCTCTGAGGCTCAGTTTGTGCAGGGCGAGAACAATCCCAACTCCGTTTGGCTGCTGCAGTGTGCGCTTGGCCGGGATGGGATGCAGGCCTTCAAGCCCCTCGGGCCCGCAAGGAAGTCCCACAGAGCAAGCTATAAGGTTTAGGGTTTAGGGTCTAGAGTGTTTTTTTTTATATATGGTGTCAGAAGCGTAACGTTGAAGAGCAGGCTTCAGAACTCAGGTTATGCTTGCTGGCCCAGGCTTGCATGCTCTGTGGTGTGCTGACCTTAGAACCGCTCTGTGAAGAAGCAGCAGCCCTCGAATATATTCGGTTCGCTTTAGCACCACATGACAGTTTCGCCTAAGGCGTTGTGCGCAGTTTAATTGCGGTTGCTTCTTGCTGAACTCTCATGCCTCTTGCTGAACTCTCATGCCTTGCAGATGTATCACTGAAACCGTCATAGCTCCATCGGCCTTTGTTCTTACCTGTCATAATTAATTGGTGGAAAGCCCTTTGCTTGGGAGGGCAGGAAGTGGGAAATGTGGGACTCTTAGGGATAGTAGACAAGTGCGCAGGGACGCAGGGAAGGATACATGTAGTGAGGACAGTGAGGACCATGTGGGTGATTCTCTAAATTAGGGTCCCTTGTTAGGTCCCAAATATAGTACGGCACCCTTATAAAAAAGGCCCTAAAAAGGACCCTAATTTAGAAACTACCATGTAGATCCGGGCAGAGGAAGCAGCAATTGATACTGACCATCGGCTTTAGATCGTTTTATTTGGCGCTCCTGTTGCTTGTACGTACCGTCATTCATGTCGACTCCCATCCCAAGGTATGGGTGTCGTCTTCTGCAAAGTTGTTGTTGTCATGACGCTGAGGACTTTGGGTTCTGAGGCAGTATTATTATTGTAAAGTCACATCGTGCGGAATTTTCCATCATTCAAGATGCTTTGGTCTGCCTGCGCAGTGCCCCTTAGAAAATTCAGACAATCTTTGGCAGCTATGTGTACGAGTAGCTCCTGCGTTCGATCTTTCCGGCCCTTTCAGCATCTGAAGCCCAATGCCCTAAGCGTTTAAATCCCTTGAAACGGCTTGAATCCGAGGTGAGCGGTACGTCCACCGTGAATGGATCTCTGTTCCTCAACGAGCTGAATGGCCGCTGCATTGTGAAGGCTCTCTCGAGCCTCAGGCAAGTCGAGGATCGGAGGGTAAGAAATGGCCGAGGCTCTTTCTATCTCTTTCTACACTTCTATGTATGCATGTATGCATGTACCTATGGACGATGTTTGGAAACTGATCAATTGAAGGATTTGTCGTGTGTGCACGATGTTTGATCAATTGGGGCGGAGTTTTTTGCAACAGTTTCGGCGCGTTGCAACTTAGACCAAGGGCTGCGTGACAGGTTCGTTGCATCTAGGATGATTCCAATTCGTTCAGGTGCAGCTCAGTTTTTGGTGATAATTTCGTAGTTTCGTTGTGAGAGTTGCTTTCATTCTGACCAACAAAGGCGGATGTGTTTCGAGATACTTGCTCCGTTTGATAATGCAGCGGATGTTTCCTGACGGTTTCCTTGCATAAAGGATAAAGGATGTTTCCAGTCTGTTGATCAATCGTAACGGGTGTTGTTTTCAATTCGACTCTGAGCAGCGTTTTCTTCGTGACAGAGTCGATTCATCCAGGGATGCTTGCAAACTGATGAAAGGCAGCAAAGGTTTTGGTGACCGTTTCTTTTGGGCCCGAGATGGTTTTTTGGCTGGCAGTTTCATGGCGCCCGCGATGTTTCCAGTCTGGTCAAATGCATCGGGCTGATTGGCGTTTCGCCCACGATGTTCCGAATCTGATCAAACGCACCGGGATTTCTCGTGATAGTTTCGTTGCTGCATTGTTTTTGCAACAGTTTCGTTGCGCTCACGACCTTGCAAATTTGATCAGATGCAGAGTTTTGCCACCGCGGGATGTTTCCGGTTTGATGAAACGCAGCTTTTTTTCCAGTGACAGGTTCGTTGCATCCGAAGTGATTTGTTTCAAGGCATTTCGTGGTACGCATGATGATCTTACTTGGTCGTATGCAGCGCCTTTTTGTTGCGACAGACGGGTTGCCCCCAAGATTCCCGGATGCTTCCATTTACAATTTTGATTGGATGAAGATCGATTTCGATCAGTCGCAGGTGTGTTTGTTTGTCTGTCTGGTCACATGGGAGACCGTGAGCTGAATTTTTTCATTTTGTAGTTGGACGTTTCTTTGTTCCATGTCCTTAGGCCTGTTTGCCTTCTTGGAAGCCTGAATGCTGTCCCTGGTGCAGAGGACGTGGAGCCCCATGTGACGTACTGGCGCTACGTCAGCAGCCGTGCAGAGGCCCAGAGATGGAAGCTCTGGTGACTCTGGAGCACTGCTCTGTGCAGGCCCTGAACCTGAGCGTGCAGACTCCGTGGGGCATCCGCATGTTTAGACTCCCTAGAGAGAGCTGTTGAGGGTCCGCAGTCCGTCGTGAATGCTTTGCCAGTGCCAGGTCGCACCTGGTCCTCGCCCGCATTGCTTGCTTGACACGCTGCTCCACTGCAGAGTCGCGGCTGCACTCTGTGACGGAAACTCATCCGCATGCAATGGCGAGGAACGCTGGAGCCTTCAGCCATGCTGGAAGTGCAAGAAGATTGGAAACAGCTGAGCGATCGCGAGCGGGACGTGCTGCACGATGTCTTTCTCTTGGATGGGCACGAGCACAAGGCCTTCATGTTCCTCTACCTGCCGCTCTTCCTGGCCAACGCCCGATCGAATCCCGATCTGGGACTTCAAGGTGGCCTGAAGTTCCTGGTGGAAATCTACGACAAGCTCATCAGGCACAAGTGCCTGGCTCTGGCCGGACCGACGGTCAAGGTGGAGCCCTGGGCCTGTATGAGTGTATGCTGTGGATCCATCGCCTGAGCTGCTCCCTTGTCAGACTTCAAGCCGAGGACCTGTCCACTCTCGCAGTTGTTGCTACCGATGTCGAAGATCTTCCAACCCTCCGCATCTTGGATTCTAGAGAGGTCTTGGGCGGCACCACACCATTCGGGTCAAAAAGATAAGGAAAGTGCCTGGACTTCGCGAAGATCGTGAAACATGAGAAGGGAGTCACCGTGCTCCTGACCAGCGCGAGCTACCAAGTGCTCACCGGACAGTGTCCCCCTGCGTTTAACGGGGTTCTCCCCGATTCTCCCCCTCAACATGAACAAAAAACGCCCTGAGAAGGACAGCTCGTGCATGACACGAGAAGTACAGATATGCTGGAGCTCCTGACACAACAGCAGCGGCCCGTTTTGTATGCGGTGATTTTTCCCGGCCTTTGTTTTTTTAGGTAAAGGGCCCCTCCTCTGAGCAGTTATGATGGTTATTATGTCGATTACTAGTAGTACTATTATAAATATTTTTTATCATTATTATTGTCATTGTTAATATTACTATTATTATTATTAGTATTATTATTCTTATTATTACTCTTGTTATTACTACTACTATTGCTAGTATTATTTTTAAAGGGGTCCCTTTCTTTCAGCTTCTTTTTTTTCAGCTTCCATGCGAGGCTCCGGCTCGAGAGCGCCATCATGTCCAAGGCCCTGGGCCGGCCTCTCCGGGCCTCCATCTCCCTGGACAACCTGGAAACCTGGCCAGTATGGATAATGCCATATAATATAGTATAGTATAACATAGCATAATAGAATTTGAATAGAATCGAATAATACACTATAATATAGTATAGTATAATATAATATATCTCCCTGGACAACCTGGAAACCTTGCTCAGCGCTCTCTTAAGGGTGTAAGGGTGGGGTTTAGGGTTTAGGGTTCTAAGAGGAAGAAAGAGAGAAGAAAAGTGGCGAGAGGGGGACTTTTCGATTCGAAGAGAGAGAGAGAGAGAGAGAGAGGAAGCCTCCTTGCCCCTAACCCTGCCGAAAGAAAGAGAGCGGAAGAGAGAGCGCGCTCTTCATCTCTTCGGTTAGAAGAAGGAGGAGTGAGTCAGCGGTTCCCTTTGTCTGTGCGAAGACTCCGAGGAGTCGGAGGGAGAAAGAGACCCGCACGCCATCGAGCAGACCCACCTCTAGCTCCCGTGAACGGAATGCATTGTAGCTTGTGGCTGCGTCGGGGGTTAGTCTCTATCGCCCATTCTGCAGAACACTGACCCATGCAGTTGTGACACATGCAGCCATGAAAGCCCGCTTCATCGCTAGCCCAGCATACGAGCCAACAAGCCCTAGATTCCGTCTCTGAGTTGCGCTGCACAAAGACTCCTGCAATTTGCCCACGCATCACGCCAAAATGCTCTCTAGGCCCTAGGCTGGGCAGAAGCTCACCCCGGAACCACGCGCCTTCAGCGAGCTTGGCCAAGCCAGCTTCGCTCAGTTTTCGAAGCCAGAAATGGCTGCACTCGGTTGGTGCCCCCCTCTTCGGCGGAGCACCTCTTGAGCCAGACACACCCTCTCAAGATGAACTCCCACATAAGGCTCATAAGGCTCAGCTGAGTCGCAGAGTGCTCTCTGTTGGTCCCGTCGAACCCAAAAGACGTCGCAAAGGCGCTGTCTTTTGGCTGGAATAGGAGATCTTCCAGTCTCGTGATAGTACCAAGTACTGTACCAAGCACCACGACACTGGATGGAAAAGGCTCTTTTCGCGCATCCTTCGCCCCTTGGCAAGCTGTGTCCTGCCCGTCTGCACCTTGGCACCAAGACCCTGACCTGACAGTTGTGAGATCGGCTTCGAAAGTATCATGCCGAAGACCATGGATAGACCTGCAAGTCGGACCAACAGCAGACCTGAGCACACGGAGGATTTGAGGCTGCTGGCAAGCAGAGGCAACACGCGAGCACGTAAACAGAGCGAATGCATGGCTAGGGCCATGGCTCCTCAGCCCGCTGAGAACGGCTACTCGGGTTTCGAAGATTCCGAAACCGGCGACTTCGATCAGGACGCGAATCTTGGTCTCATCGCTCAAGTCTCTCTATCTCTCTGCAGGAGTCAGAAGATGACCAGCGCAGGTCTTGCTGTGCATCGCCGGTACCCTTGGCACACAGGGAAACGCCGCGCTTCACCAATGTAGGCCCTCGACCTGATCTCGATGCCCTAGGAGCGTAGAAATCCTGCGGCGCAGGCTTGATCGGGGAGACGTCCCACGACGGGGCCGAGCACGTGACGGATGAGGTCTTCAATGCTGCATCACACCTTATGGGAGGGATGCTCTCCGTTCTCGGCCAGCCGCTCATAAAAATACCATCCCGGGTACACCGCTCGAATGCTGCAGTCTCTTCCTGAGGCTCGGCTGTCCTAATCACCGGTGCAGCAGCCAACTCGAACCCATGGGGCGTCATCTCGCAACGCGGCTGCAGCTGGAACCCTAAAGCCCTAAAACCCTGAAACCCTTGAGCCCCCCAAACGAACCCACAGGAACCGCCTGCTCCCCCGGCTGCAGGTTTTCCTTGTACGGCGCCTCGCTGATGTTCTTGTTTTTCGCCAGCTTTGCGCCCGGCTCCTCAGAGACTCCGATTCTCCTTGGAGCACTGTCCTTTTGGCGAGTGGCATCAGAGGCACCACGCGATCAAAGGGCCGAAGCCACTCATGGACCTCCTGCGCACTCTGGACTATGTGGCTATCTATTTCTTAATCCCTGGAACGATGGTCCCGGCTGGGTGCCCAGAAGACAGCCCGCACCCTTTCGAGACGTGAGGTTTGCCTCTGAGGTTTGCTTCGTGTGCCTCCACGACACCTGGGTCGGCTGGGTGTTCTTCGGAACCACCTGGGGAATTGCCTTTTTGGGAGCGATGTGCTCAAGAGCTTTGCTTCTCATTTGCGCAGCATCAACGGCTTGGCCCAGCTTGGCTGAATGCAAGGTCTGGTTCCAATCCTTCTGTCCGCTTGAGTTCCCAATGTGGGCGAGTATGACCATGTACGTGCAGGGCTCAGATGCTCAGAGCCTCCTATTTCCCTGAATGCAAGATCCGAAAGCTCCGGAAGCCTCCCTGTGGGACCCTAAACCCTTCAGCTGCTGCCTTGCTTGGTGCAAGGTCACCCTCGGCTGGTTCGGTGCCTTCCTGGCCATCCCTGCCTACAAGTGCATAACCTTCGGAGGCAAGACTGGTGTGTGTATCTATATCTATATCTATATCTATATCTATATCTATATCTATATCTATATCTATATCTATATATATATATATATGTATAGAAAGTGTATGTATGTATGTATGTATGTATGTATGTATGTGTGTGTGTAGATGTGTATGTATATGTATCTGTATATGTGTATGTGTATGTTTGCACACATGCCGATAGATAGATAAATAGCTAGATAGATTAGATAGTGTATCTGTGTGGGCGTATAGGTGTGTATCATCCGCATGACAGCGTGTGTGTTCATGAAGTCTTTCTACCTATGGCACCCTGCTCGAAGTCCAGCACGGAGTGAGGAGCACCAGTTTTTCAGTCGTTTCGAGTAACTTTCCTCGGCAATCTTTAACCGAAATCCCGGTCATCCTGACAACGAATTCTGTTTGCTTACCTTGTCCTGGTCTCCTGTCCGCTGTCAGAGTTGTCAACTCAAGCCTTTGCAAGCCCCAACTGTTCACATGCTCGAGCATTTCGGGTGCTACAACTTCAGTAGATCCTTGCAGTAACCCTTCTTTTCTCATGAATGCTTTACCGCTTAATAGCACTGATTGCATCAGAGTTTTTGAGGGCCAACTTCGTGAAGACGGGCACTTGCACTTTTATGGAAAGGTGCAGGATTCTGAGGGACCGCAGAGAAATCATTAGCGCAAGAAGCTGAGACTGCAACATCTAAATGACCGATTTGCCGAGATTGCATGAAACGAGGACCAGTATCTGGATTATGGGGTCACAGGACATACATGGCAAGGATCGGTTTAGGATTGCACTGCGGATTGAATTGTTGCAAGGAGTGCAGTGCAGTCAGGGTTGGAAAGATCGGAGCACGAATGCAGTCCTGGTGGCATGAATGGGACAAGCTTTGGATGTCCTCAGGTGGGGGTACAGCAGGAAGGAGACTGCGACAACACCAAGAGCAGCAGAAATTGGAAGTTTCAGCCTCCGTAACCATCACTGCATCTGCTAAACCTCTAGCCTTATGATTTTACTCAGTTTGACTCCCGGAGCTGGATCCGACATTCAAGGTTCCACCCTGACGTCTAACGATAAATCTTAATCTTGGAGCCGAAAACGAAGCAAGATGATTCGATCGGATTCGTGTTGATTCGGAAGGCCTCTTGAAGGGTTGCCGGGCTTGCGGGTTGATCTGCCTTCGAGTCCGGCAGCGCTTTCGGTGTCTGTCTGTCACCCTGTGTACCTGCCGGCCCCTGCCTGTCCGTCTGTCCGTCTGTAGGTATGCACGCAACATGTAGTTAGCGTCCCCCTTATATAGGAACCGAAAAGACGGCGGGCCCATATTTAAACGCGAATGCACGGACGGAGCGACAAAGAGAGAGGGAAAAAGGGAGAGGCGGCGAGAGACAGAGGGATCGGTCGCATCGCCTTGAAGCCGAGGCGCGCTGCTGCTGCTGCTCGGGGGTCTGTCCTACACCTTCGGAGGTGTCATCTTCACCATGCAATGCCAGCCACCCTAAAGTAGCAAACAGAGTCGAGGCACAATGCGATTTCAAAAAACAGAAGGGGCAGTGAGGGCATGTCCTTTTTTCCTCTGAGGTCCGAACCCAATCAAGGGAAAATTCGGCTTCCACGAGATCTGGCATGTGCTTCGGCTGGACTGTTGGAAACCAGAGCTTGTCTTGCGGCTTGCCCCTTTGGGGCCCCCATTTGCCCCCGCGCGAAGTCAAGGTTTTCGTTCTTGTCGGAGCCGCATTTCACTACGCTTGCATGCTCTTCTACGTGTTCCCCCACGTGAAATCCGGTTGTGCCCAAGGAGGCTGCACATAATCAATACAACAGTTGTAGCGGCACGAAGAGAAACCGAAATCGCAAGTGTGCGAAGAGAAGACTGCCGCCGAGAAAAGAGAAGTGCGGGGGGCTCTCTTTGAGTGTTTTTTCCATCGCCGTCCAGCTCCTCAAGGCCGTCCTTTGGCCGTTTGTCTCTGCAGCGCTGAGTCGGGGCTCTTGTAGAGAGCCTCTCCCGGGGATCCGGGCGCTGGGTGAACGATGCCTCGGCGACAGCCGGGCTCCTAAAGGAGACTCGGAGACTCTCCGCCGTGCAGCCCTGGTTCTGGGGAACTCTCTGAGTGCGCTACAATCTTTTAGGTGAGACGCCCATGGGCAGCGTTTGGTCCCATCTATGGGAGCCCCAGTGTGGTCAAGGCGCATGGAACTTTAGGGTTTAGGGTTTCGCGGCTTTCCATCTTCATGGCTGCTCTGGCAGGTCACTCTCTGCTCGGTGGAGATGACGAGTCTTCGCTGAATGCCAGGTGCCAGCCTTGGAAGCACAGACCCCGAGGACCCAATCCAGCTTATGGGCCGTGTCGGCAGGTATGACATGGACCTCTTTCCTCAGAAAATCGGCGAGGGGCAGTTTTCGAAGGCGTACGTCTGCTGGAGTAAGGAGGACTCTTCTCAGCGCTACGCCTTGAAGGCCCCCCCCCCTGTAATCCTGGCTGTTCTTCAATGCTTGATAGAGAAGCTCCTTTCCCGGAGGTCTTCACGCCGGATGAGGGCGCCGAGCATGCCACAAACGCCCCAGCCTTGGCCAGCTTGGAAGCTTCAAAGCGCCTCTCCCTCCTCCTTTTTTTAGCACCCCTGAGAAGAGGGCCCCACGGAAATCTATGCCTGTCGAGGAGATCCGGGTGCTCCTCTTGCTGGGTCCCTGCCCAAAGTTGGTTTGTTCAAGTCCTAAAAACAGAGAATCTTTGGGGCGCCTGGTGGCAGGCCAGCACCCTCGAATCATTCGTCTCGTTGACCTCCACAACGAGGCGCGCGGGGGGGGGGGGGGGGG